TGTTATTTCAGTGTTTATGAATATCAATGAATACTTAAATACATGTAAGTCGCCATATTTAGTCTGTCTCACAGTCCCTAAACTACATCATTTCCCCTACTGCTTAGCCCTCCCTGCAATGCTAAAGCCCGAAATGAAGCAAGTCTAGATTCCCTCAGGTTTGAATTTCCCATCTGACAGGGGTTCCTTTTCAATTTAAATTTGTTTATTTGTTCCTGCCAAACTTATATATATTCAGAGACTATGTGTTAGACTACGCTATGCTCAGCGCCTCCGTATTACTTATGTTAGTTCCATGGGGATCTGTAAATCATTTATCGATAAACGTTTCCACAATGGACTGGAACCTGAAAGCCAGACAGATGGGCGTGGTTACATAACGAACCTTAATATCCGTTTTCTACAAATAGACACATGATCTGGTATTATGGCGAGTTCCCGTGTCAAAAATATCCTGCCACACGATCGAATTACCATACGACTCCATTACGTGTACATTACGTGTAATGATAGATAAACAAAGATCACATCCCGTGCTTATACACATATCCACAACCATACGAGAACGTGATATTTTCTCAAACATGAACCATTATATTGATTTTTTTCTTGGAAAATCGTGGTTATTTTCGAAACCATAGTGTCGTCTAAGTAGGGCAATATACACCGCACCAAATCACATGACCTACAGGCTCACCACCGACTCAAAACGATTACGCATGCGCGAACTGTAGATCCCAGTGACCTAATACCCTCAGGCATATTTTGTCGACCGAGGCTTTAAGCGCCTCTTTTACACCCATACATCGCCACATGAGGAGGTACAGGCCCTTGCGCAATCCTATCATATGGAATATGTGTGTACGTGTATATTACATAACCATATGGTGGCTCTCATGTTTTTAGCACACCAAAGTCGCGGTGACCTAGAGATCGCGCAACGTGTTTGTTTACCGATACGGCCAGCATGACCGACTAACACACTTATAAAGAATGCACGTAATCACTCGTAATCCTATTGAGTTTGTAACGGCGTTATTCATTGGCTGAAACTCAAAGAAAGGAAGTTGAATGAGCCGCATAGCACCGCGCGAAGAAGCATTACCTGGCTATACTTTTATAACGACATGACCCGTTTGGCCATAAGTAGGCCCTAGTGGTGTTTTGTTCTTTAAAGGTCAATGGAGAATGAAACAAGACACATTTGACCGAGCTTTAAGGGACAAAGTGTATGCACGGAAACCGGAAAGAGCTACCATATTGCAAGTGACGTATGACGCAATAGATTGTGCACAACCGACCTCGCTAAACCCGGGATAGGCCAGCCTAGAAATTGTTGGCGGGAACAGGCATATTTACATATATAAGTGTATGTACAGAGATTACTCACCATAAAAGTGTGTGATGTTTCACCAGAGTGTAATTAATTTTCTTACACCAACACGTCCCCGTTTGAAATCTGGACAGTATAAGTCCCAACCAATTGGCTTGTGTCGTGGGTGGCGAATACATGGGTCGGTGTCGATGTCGGGTTATTCTGAGTCTCATCATGCCCGGACCGCGGGGGTGGCTGCTTATGATACAATTATACTAGGCTTACTAGTCAATAGGCGTTTATTCATAGGCCGCCAGCTAGGGTCGGTGGGGTAGCCTAGTGGTTAATGTGTTCGCTCGTCACGCCGAAGACCCGGTTCGATTCCCCACATGGCACAATGTACAAAGCCCATTTCTGGTATCCCCTGCCGTGATATTGCTGGAATATTGCTAAAAGCGGCGTAAACTAAATTCACTCACTCACTCATAGGCCGCCGTCATTAGGCTGAAATATTGTTAGTCTCGAACAACCAAGTAGCAGTTCTGAGACCGTTGGATACAGGCATCACGCACGCACGCACGCGCGCGCGCACTCACTCTTTTACACTATACTTATTTGTGTCGCTTATTCCATATTTTTTAGTAATGCCTCGACTGCGAAACCAACCCATTCTGATGGGGGTTACTATAAACACATTGCCTTATTCAAATTAATTATAAACGGGGATGTGTTTTCGGAAAACGCTACATCAGGATATTGTACTATCAATGTTCGATAAATCCGCGTATATTACTCTTTAAAGTTCGTAGATTAGGTTATGTTTTATTTGACTAATTGGTAAACAGATATTTGTACTTCTTTCTACCCTGTAACCATGCATTTTAACATTTAGATTAAATGAACCGACATTAAATTGCTGTGCATGATAATCATATGTGCCCAAAGCTGTAACTACAATTCATTTCTGAATTATCCCCTGCCAGTATACAGCCACGTGTAAATATATGCAATGTTTGGAATCTCTGAATTCCACTAAGTCGTTACAGCTCGTGAATTGAGTTTCATGAGGGATGAATGCTCCAAAGTAACCACCCGAGCAACACAATTAATATAGTTAACTGTTTGACGTTTATAGGGTCATAGAATCTGGATATAAACGGCTTAGATCCAAACTGGACATGTACAACTGACCTTCGTCTATCGCATCCACCCCAGCGTTCAGAGGGTTGCAAGGGGCGACAAACGGAATTGGGTGGTCAAGCCGACATGGTTGATGCATGTTGCCGTATCCTCATTGCATGGATCGATGCTCATGATGTTAATCACTGGATTGTTTGATCCGACCTTCAGTCATATCGCTGAACAGTGGCCGAGCGCAGTGTTAAACAAGGAACAGATAAACTGGAAATTGGCAAAATGACGTTTGCGCGAAATGCACCAAAATGATATTCATTCGCTTTAAATCGAAAACCACGGAACGGGACTATCAAAATGTGGCTTCACCCATTGTAACCAGGAATCGAACTATGCATGTTTGACGATCACACACACATAGTTTCAATAGTCATCGACTCATCGGCTCGTCACAGAGATTTTTCTAATCCAAATTCCTTTGGAATGAAGAATGAAGCTTCACATCGACATTAGAATCTATGTCGAAACGTCGCCTTTCACAGAATATAGAAGTTGTATAACCATAAAATTATCTTCATTCTTCATCACCTAAACTTAAAAAGTCCACCAAAGAAATCATCTGCATTAGGGCAAATCGAGCAAACGGTAATCGCGCCGCCATTTTGGACAAGTGGAGCTGCTGCAAGCCGATAAATTTGCTTGCTCAAAGGGATTAATGGCTTGCAACGCACCCGTAAATTCGTTTTGTATACCTATCGAATCAAGACCAAACTGACTAGCTTACAGCTTGGATCATTCTATAGCAAGAAGAAGTCGTAGCAGAACTGTTCGCAACCGGTCGAGGGAGCGCAATCTCCGGCCCAGAAGTCCAGCGAAAACTGTTTCCTCGTCACTGTCAGGCACAGGTGGAGAAGTTACGAAGACAAGATTCTCATCTAGGCGCACACACAACAACAGTCTTACATCTTCCACAACATTTACAACATTTTATTTGAAGCACAGTTACTTTTTTCCTCGTCTGTATGTCATGGTCAGACCGTAATAACGAGCTTTGGGCAGTGGAAATACACTCTTCCAAAAAGAAAGAAGAACAAAAAGAAACGCATAGGTGATTTTGAGAATATTGGACTGCGGCCAAAACAATACAAACATACTGTTTCTTTCGAAAACGTCATCTTTGTGTGATCGTAAACACCTTCAGTGCCAAAACGCGGCAATTTTAACTTTTCTCCTTGTTTTAGAAGCGTTTGAAGAAATATTCATATTCGCCAAAACGTCACCAAGAAAACATGCAAAGCAAATGCACGTGCAAGTAAGCGGAAACGCACGCGGTATCGATCACTATAAAACGGCAAACGTTGTGTTTAATTTCGTCATTCGTTTTTGCCTGGAAAAGAGGAAAACATCATGTCACGACTAAGTGCCGCCAATCGAAACATCGCCATAGGTCGCCTTGAAGCTGGGGAGTCGCAGTCTGCAGTTGCCCGACATTTCAACGTTCATCGGAACACCATATCTCGTCTTTGGGATCGTTTCCTGCAGACCAATTCCGCCCAAGATCGCACGAGAAGCGGCCGTCAAGGAGTTACCACCCAAGCCCAGGACCGCTACATCCGGACTGCTCACTTGCGTCATCGTCTTGCCACTGACGTGGAGACTGCAAAACGCATCCCCGGTTTGAGAAGAATTTTCGACCAAACTGTCAGCAATCGATTGCGGGAAAACGGGGATCCGACCAAGAAGGCCAGTTGTCGCCCCTGTTTTGAGAGACTTCCATCGGCGCAATCGCTTGCTGTGGAGTCGTAGAGTCTGGAACCGAGGTGAGTCTGGTTCAGTGATTTATTACGAATTTGTCATCACCGGCAAGATGGAAGACAGCGTATTTACCGTCGGAGAAATGAACGTTTTGCCCCAAATTGCATTCGACAGGTCGACATATTCGGTGGAGACAGTGTCATGATGTAGAGTGAGATATCCAGCCCACAAAGATCTGATTTAGTGGTGGTTCAGGGGAATTTGACAGCAAATCGGTACATCAACGACGTCCTTGCATGTCACATGCTTCCGATTATGGACCGACAGAGGGAGTTGTCCCAGCATGACAACGCTGCTTCACATACAGCACGCGTCACGGTACGCTACCTTGACAATTGTAACGTTAATGTTTTGCCATGGCCTTCCCGATTACCAGATCTATAAACGATAGAACACGTTTGGGATGATCTCGATTGACGTGTACGTCAACGTCAAAACACGCCTCAGGCACTTCCACAACTGGCCATCGCATTGTAGGAAGAGTGGGAAGAATTACGCAAGAGCGACTTCGTCGACTTATCCAGTCTGTGCAGAGACGGTGCCGAGCGACAATTGCGGCCAGAGGTGCCGAAACAAAGTACTGACTTTGACACCATGTTGTGGACTCAAGTAAACAGACACACAGCAATAAAGGCTGCTGTTGTGTTGGTGAACCCTTTGTCTAAAGACGTGTGTATTTTCACATTTTTATCATTGAAATTACATGAAATAATTGCTCTTAAACTGCAATACATTCTTCTAAAATGGCTTATGCGTCCCTTTTCTTGAAGAGCGTATATGAAATGATCTCAACGTCTAAAACTTAAGAATTTCACATTAACTCACCCAATTCTTCAAAAGTGACACATGTTTTTGGAACATCATACACCTGTAGATGATGACTGTTATATGTTGGATCTTCAAACAACAGAAGCAACACGTCATTAGTTTCCCGTGAAGGTGTCGTATGATCAGTCCCCCTCTGGTATCTGGGCGACGGTATTAAAAAATAATTTCACCACGTGTGGCGTTTTTTATTTACACTCCTTTCACACGTGGTGCCACCCTACGTCCAAACTGTATATTGGGAACTGTTGGTGAGTTACGTCAATACAATTCTCAGAGTGAGGTGCGTCCGCTGTTTACTTTCAGGCACAGAACATCTGAGAATCCTGCCTAGCCTAAAGGGGCGCAACTCTCCTATAGCAAACCTCATGTTAATGTGGGTCAAGGCAGCATCGTAACCGTTAGTCTTTCTCACTGAGGTTTTGAACAGTTCTGTTGATGGGTCAGTTTATGTGGATGATTTCAAAAATTCATATCATGATAATAATATGCATACGATAGAAAGACAGCTATCAGTATGCCTTAATACAATTTGAAAACGAAAATGGCTTCGTTTCCAAATCCTAAACACATTACATTCACCTTTGTCGTAAATACCAACCGCACAAAGGTCCAGATTTACTGTAAGATGGGACATCCTATCATGGCTGTAGAAGAGACCAAATTCCTGGTCCTCATATTTGACTGTCACCTAACATTCCAACCACATACAATATATCTGAAGGCAAAGTGCTTGGAGGCTTTTGACTTCGTTCAAATTCCGAGAGGGGAGGGGATCAGACAACCCCCCTTTCTCTTGTACAGGTTATTAATTCTCTCTATACTGGATTTTGGCTCCATTGTCTATGGCGGAGCCTCCAAAAGCAATTTAGACCATCAAGGCCTAAAGCTCTTCCTCGGAGCTTTTAGGACCTCTCATGTAGACAGTCTCTATGTGGAGTAAGGTGATACGCCCTTGAACAACGGTGCATTAAACTTCTATTGCAATATGTCACTAAGTTACGCTCTAATCCGTCAAACCCAGCATACAATGATTGTGTGTTTCTCTATGAAAACCTATTTCTTATTCTGCCAAGACTGGCTAAAACCATTTGGAATCAGACTTCAACCACACATCACCTTACCGACTCTTGTCTTCCCCGTCCTGACAGATGGTGAAACCAGATGTTGACCACCCTCACCAAACGTTAACAAATCTGAAAGAAATCATTTCGTATTTCAAACGGAAAAGAACAAATCACGTTCAAAATATAACAAGCATAGATCCATTTTTACAGATGAATCCTTAGATGGTGGCAAAGTTGTCAATGCCACAGTACTTGGATCAAAGACCGTATCCTCAAGGGGCGGTGGGGTAGCCTAGTGGTTAAAGCGTTGGTTCGTCACGCCGAAGACCCGGGTTCGAATCCCCACATGGGTACAATGTGTGAAGCCCATTTCTGGTGTCCCCCGCCGTGATGTTGCTGGAATATTGCTAAAAGCGGCGTAAAACTAAACTCAGACTCAGACTCAGACTGTATCCTCAAGATGGACCTCCTATGTGTATCTCTTACGATGAAGTGTTCACCATCAAACATAGTTTGCTTGACTGTGTAGACTTTTCAAATGAAAGGGAGTCATTTCTCATTATGAAGCGATAAATCTGAAAGATCTGTTTCCTGCGTGAGTGAGCATCTCATTGTGAACTACTTGAGAGAGATTGATCTGTATCATGAATTGTGACTGTGCAATATGAATGACGGATTGCTTGTTTTTAAAATGTGTGCTATTACTTTTTCTATTTTTAAATAATCATGTAATAAATAAATATTTTTAAAAAAACAAACCAACTCATTTAGGCTTAATACTTACAATGTCCATGTATGCAGACTTGATCTCGTCGCTATATGGCTGAGATAATGTCTATGCGGCGTAAAACTCAACTCAACCTAACTCATCTCAATTCTACTGGCCCATGCGACGTGTTTTGTTGGTTACCAGGCCATGAAGGCACAACCGGTAACACATAAGTCGATCTACCCGTGAAGATCCGGGTTAGAATTGATCCTCAGTAACCCATGCTTGTCGTAAGAGGCGACTAACGGGATCGGGTGGTCAGGCTCGCTGACTCACTCATGCAAAAAAGGTGGGGCACTAAGGCATGTATCAAGAAAATTTATTATTTTAAACCATCAATCGCTTGTACTTTGAAGAAATGATGAGGTCATTCTGCGACGATCGCTCTCGGATTATTGACGAATATCCGCTTACAGCATGGATGAGGATGAACCTCCCATGTGTGTCCCATGTGATGAAAGGCTCATCGTCATGCATACTTTACTTGAATGTGTGGACTTCGCAGTTACAAGGGTTTTACATCATCAAGCAGTAAACTAGACTAACATATAATTTACTAGTCTCTGAAATGAACATATTTTACTGAAAACAGTTCATAGTAAAAAAAAAAAAAATATAATGAAAAGGAGCCCTGAGACTTTCTTCATTTTCTGAAGCTGAGGAAATCTAGACTTGCCACATTTTCTAGACTTGCGTGGGCTTTCTTGGATATATTTGCTTCAGGTTCTGTACGACAGACTAGCAGTAAACCTGAAAGATCTGTTAACCCGCGTGAGCTGTCACCTCATAATTAACTGGGGCGGTGGGTAGCCTAGTGGCTAAAGCGTTCGCTCGTCACGCCTGGGTTCGATTCCCCACATGGGTACAACGTGTGAAGCCCATTTCTGGTGTCCCCCACCGTGATATTGCTTGAATATTGCTCAAAGCTCACTCACTCACTCATAATTAACTACTTAAAGGAAATTGATCTGTATCAGAAACTGTAAAGATGCATTCGTATTACTTCTTGCTCGTGTCTAATTTTGGATGTCTAGCCTATTTTCTAGACTGGAAATAGTACATTGTTATAACCAAATTTAAAAATTATTGTAATGATGTTATAGTCTGTGTTCTAAAATGTAAATATATAATATTGTGATATCAAAATGTGTGTATGCAAACTTGCTTATGTCTTTGTGTTAATAATGGAATTGTGTACATTTGTAAACTCGTCGCCATATAACAGACATTTTGTCGATACATTAACGTTTAACTGAATCACTCTCTGTTATAATACAACTATCCCTACAACGCCAGTACTTAGTAACTATGAGGCTGTTTCATGAGACTCCTAGCGTGGTGACCCAGAATAGGACAAAACTGTGAAAAACCTTAGTTTATTTTGGGCTAAAAACTGAAATGGGTGTAGAAATTGTTTACAGATTATTTTTTGCACATCAAAGTATTGATATAACACTCTTTGGAAAAAACAGGATGCAAATAGCTCACAAAAAATATTGAAAAATTAATCAATTTGTATTTTGACCAATATCAATGTCCTAATGCGCTAATAACCAGGTTTTGATATATCAAACTGCGTTAAGTTAACTGCAAAGTAAGGTTTTGCTACAGGCGACAGAAACAAACATTTCAAAATTACATATTACCTGAGCTGTAACAAATATACTTTGGGGGTTATTATACTGTTTATGCTTGATGTATGTTGGGCAGTTTGGTACCATTATCCAACCATACTGACAGTAACATTTGCTAATTAAGTTTAAGAGAAGTATGGCGGCGGCAGCATTTTCACCCCTATTGAGAATGAGTGATATACCCTCACCGCAGCCCCGAAATCCACACCTCAATTAATGACACAAAGATTGCGGGCAGCCAATCTGAGAGATGATCGGTACCAGAATGATACATCTAATTACATATGATTACAATAACCATTAATAAATAAAATAAGGAAACCAGGGCACTGACATAGATTACCCGGAACTATGAACTGAAGCCATGTTGTGCAATACCTAACGACAATTAACGAACAAAAGACATAATTAGAAGAAGGCGTGCATCCAATCCACACGACCCCAGGATATGTTAGACAAAATAGAGAATAACATACACAACAATCAATACACAATCAAACATTGATTGGTGAAAAATTACATAAATAGTATTATATAAACTATCGACTTTGTTTTAATTTTGGAACTATGAACCGAATGAAGCTTTGCTATATCATGAACCATGGGCGGATCCAGGAATTTTTAAAGGAGGGGGTTCAGGGGGTTCGTACCCCCCTGAACCCCCCCATTGGCTCCGCCAACGCAAAAAAAAAATCTTCAATGTGATCTTAAGTCATTTTCAGAGGGGGCGGTTCGAACCCCCTGAACCCCCCCTTTGGATCCGCCACAGTGAACCATTCCCTCATCCCCATGATCATGTGGTAACTTGATCTGACAGTATTCATGACCATACCAGTCGGCAGCGTGGCGTGTGAAAGGTCTTTCGATCTCCTCTCTTCGAGGCACAAGTAGACTAAGGCTTAGTCTCTGAATATATATAATTTTGATAGTAACAAACAAGTCCATTTATATTGAAAAGGAGCCCTAGGGAGACCAGAGAAACCTGAGGAAATCTAGACTTGCTTTATCTAGGGCTTTAGCACTGCAGAGAGGGCTAGGCAGTAGGGAAATTAATGTGGTTCAGGGACTGTGAGACAGACTAAGGCACAAGCTGTGGGCACGTACAACAATGAGCACAGAGCATCTAACTGCGCATCTTTGATACCAAGTCCATGCACTATCTACTGTAGGAAGGCAAACTGGAGGAAATTCAAATACAGCTAAAAGTGTATAGTCATTTTTTATATTCCCTTGGAACAGTAAATGTGTAAATATGTCACGAAGCCTGGTGTCTGTCCGCGGAAACTGAAAAGTATGTTCTATGTGAAACTGCAACAACATTTCATGACAATATACAACAACAAAAAACAGCGCCCCCGCCCCACGACCAAAAACCAAGCAAACAACAAAAATAAACCAGAAAAAAATATTTTTTACAACAATGTCCATGATGACGTCATCAGCATACGTCATAAAACTAAACATTAAGCTGTTATTCACCAACACACGTAAACCATTGGTTACAGACAAATAGAGCCCCGACATAATAGTCTGCAGAGACCTAACAACTACAGTGACATCAGCTGTCCTGAAACACGTCCATTCCTGGGTCACTGTATTAATTCCTGTGTCCATTAACTAAGTCAGAAACTTGGATCTCGCAGGATATGTTTATGCTATGTGTAAACGACTTGCTGCCATGGTAACTAGTACTATTTACTACTGCTATGTCACAAATCGTAGTCCATCAACGTGGCTGGTACATGTTGTACTAACAGAGCTGGGGCTCCTTTCACGAAGCAACCTTTACTAAGGTTAACCTTAACTCCCATTCTTTAACATTGCACTAAAGTTACCTTAGTGACTTACGATCACCTTAGTGTTTTGTGAAAGGAGGCCCTGGACGTTTAAGAGAACTTATATTTGTTGATAATAGTAGTACTGTAAATCAATCAAACACGGACATAGTGCTTATAAACCTAAAAACATAAGCAGGATGAACGAGATTCGAACCCGCGACCATAGGGTTTTGCTTTGCCCAAGAGGCTCAACTCAAAGCGAACTCAAAGCGAACTACAGCCTTCCATGTGCTCATATACTCAACAGACCAAAACTCGGGGACATTGTTTGGGACAATTGACACATTTGGTGGACTAAAACGTTCTACGGAGCAATAAAAAGGTTTGTTATTCTGACGCCACACTTAGCAATATCAAACCTGCATAAAGACTGTATGTGATCGAGTCTGGACCAGGCAAACCGGTGATATTCCTTTGTGTACTGAGGTCAAGGTTGCCCTGATTGTCACCTATTGAATATCTAAAACAAAATGACATCACTGGTCTGTTTACTAAACAGATCTGTCCTCATCGGTCAGTATATGTCAATCTCCGGACAAATGTTGACTGGACACGCTGTTAACTGTTGCTCGTTATCGATAGAAATAGAGTGAGTGTGAAATGTCACCAGGGGAACCATCCTCATTACATACTCACACACGCACGCACACATATAGACTAGCACTTGGTGTTTCAATATATAACATTTTAATAGAAACAATTTATTCCTGTTAGATTGCAAAGGAACCCCAGTGAGAAGGGTGAGTCAGAACCTGAGGAAATCTAGACTTGGTTCATTTAGGGTTTCGCTTTGAGTGAGTGAGTTTAGTTTTACGCCGTACTCAGCAATATTCCAGCTATATTGCGGCGGTCTGTAAATAATCGAGTCTGGACCAGACAATCCAGTGATCACAGCATGAGCATCGATCTGCGAAAGCATTTGTGAAACACTTGTGTTATTCCGAGGTAACAAAAGTGTCCATTGGTGAGGAATGTCCAGAAAGGGCTGAGCGCAAAGGAAAATAATGCGGTATACAGATTTGTTCTGCTTTGTTCTCAGGAGCAGAAGAAACGATACCACATTATTGAGGCTAATTACTAAAAGATGACCAAAAATAAACAGAAAATCAATGTTGTAATTTGAAGAGAAATAAGTGAGGAGCATGGAAAATTCATCAATCAAGGCCAATAATTGTTTGAGATAATTGCAAAAAAATACATAATATTCAGATGCCCTGTATTCGATCATTCCCGTATGATTAGATAAGTCAATGTCAGTGACACAGAGACACTCCTGTGAGTCAATATCGAGCGTGGTCACCACCGGCATCGATACGGGCTCTAACACGACGTCGAACAGATGAGGTCAGACGTCTGATCACGTGAGGAGGTATCCTGTTCCACCCCTCCCTCACAGCTTGGATGAGGGTTTGTCTGTTCACTGGGGCGACCTGGCTGGCACGAATCTGTCTCCCAAGATGGCCCCACAAATGCTCAATGGGTGAAAGATCCGGAGATTGTGATGGCCATGGCAGGACAACAACGTCGTTGGCGATGACAAAGCCTTGAACACGTTGATCGGTGTAACATGGGACGTTGTCCTGTTGAAATGCGGTTCGTGGGTTCTCTTGCAGGAAAGGTAGAACAACT